TCATCATCATTGATATAGTATCATAGATGTTATCATTATTATCATTACCATTATCATTATTATTTCTAATACTATTATCATTCNGAATAATATGTTTCCAGTTCAATTGCGAATCTAAATAGATACCAAGAAGCTTCGGTGTTATTTCACGTTTTATAACGGATGTTCCCATGGTGATGTCTGGGAAGAAATTTGGCATTTATCCCTGTGAAATGCGTAATGGGTCTTGTTTATATTTAAGGTTAGATTGTTTAGCCAAATCCACTTGCTGATACAATTCATTCACCTCTTGCTACATTCCTTAAATCTTGTACAGAGTTGCTTGAAGAAAATGTGTATGTATCATCTGCATATGTAATATAATAGTAATTACAGAGTCTAGAGGTTTTAACTCTGTCATTGATATATATTAGGAAAAAAACAGGGCCCAGAACTGAACCCTGGGAAAACCGTGACTAATGAGATTTTCAGAAGAGGGGTGTTTGTCAAAATGACAGAGTGCCTCCGTTTCGTTAAGTATGTAACAAACCTACCACATGATTTAACCTCGGATAACATAGTGTTCAAGTTTACTTAGTAAAATGGTGTGATATACTGCATCAAAAGCTTTTGACGTTAAGAGGTTTCCCTATGTGAACCTCTTTATCATCAAACGCATTTCAAATATTATTTGAAGATTCAACGATAGCCGATTCGGTAGATCTGTTTCTCGTGTTTATTATATCATTCCCAGTTATAAATTCACTGAGACGGGTTTGGGTACACACACACACACACACACATATGTGTGTGTGTGTGTGTGTGTATATATATAATATATATATATATATATATAATATATATATATATTATATATAATGTATATAGATATATACATATATGATTTATATATATATGTATATACTTATATATACGCATACATCTCTCTCTCTCTCTCTCTCTCTCTCTCTCTCTATATATATATATATATATATATATATTATATATATATATATATATATATATTATATATAATATATTTATGTATATATTTATTTATTTATCTATCTATTTATGTATATGTATATACACATATGTATTTGTGTGTGTGTAATCATTATCCCTAATACTATCATTGTTATCATTATTATTATCAATGTTATTTCTATCATTGCTTTTACATTATTCCATTATCCTTCTATTTTTTATGATTATCACCATTATCATTGTTATTATCATCATCTATCATCATCATTGATATTAGTATCATAGATGTTATCATTATTATCATTATTACCATTATCATTATTATTTCTAATACTATTATCATTCTTAATATCATCATCATTATCACCATCATTTTTATCATCAAATCATCATTATTACTATTTTTATCATCGCTATTATTATAAGCATTATTATATTACTATCATTAATATTACTGTCATTATCATCATCATCGTCACTATCATTGCTAATTTATCATTTCTATTTATCAATATCAATCAAAAAATGAATAATGAGACAAATATCGATATCAATGTTATTTCTGTTGTTATCATAATGATTATTAAAATATATTGCTTTCATCATCAAAATTATTACTGTTATTGATATTATACACATCACAATTCCCCAAAAATAGCGCACATTTAACGACTAGTTATATTATACTACTCTATGATAATAGACAAGTAAAAGACAAAGTTTAATTTTCATTTTATTATAAAAATATTTAATTTTTATTATAAATCATATGATCACAATAACCTGTTCATGGCATCAGCAGTTTTAAAATGCAACGAAATAACAATAACAATCACAATCAACTGAAACATGTAACCAAAATCGACTTAAACCACGCATCACAATCTACTTAAGCACGAGTTAGGGGGGGGGGGGGAATACCCATTTTCTATCCTCTAAATCCAGGTCGTGAACCAGCGATGCATAGAAAGTGTTTGGAGAGAGAGAGCTGCTCATGCTCTCCCACAAAAAGGAATGTAAAGTTGCCAAAAATGTTCATGCTACACAGCAAATATGCGCATGCCTTTTGTCAGCCCAATAATCCTTCCCCTTTGCACTTATCTGATGCTTCTCGTGCCACTATCACAGACAGACACTAAGGCAACTTGGGACGCACTCCTGGAGGCCCCTCGACGCACACTGAAGACGGAGGCGAGGAGTAGCTTGCATCACGGTTACACTAAATACACTGCCAGGGAGTTCGATCACCCAAACAAGCAAGTTGCATCGAGTTCGCACCTTCCAGACCTCTTCGTCATGCAGTGTCCTCGGCAGGGAGCGTTGATGAGGATCCTCGTGTCAAGGGGGTTGGTCCCGGTAGCTGGTTTCGGAGTGGAAGGCGTCGGCGGCGGCCCTGCAGCTGAGGCGTCCGGGAAGTTGATCTGGTTCCCGGACCCGAAGTCGTCTCTCGGGGCGGCCAAGTCGGGTGTAAACACGGGCAGATTGGTCTGAAAGGCTGGTGGTGGTTGCGCGCCGAAATTGAATGGGAAGCTCA